GTCAATACTAATTGAGGAGAGAACATGCATCCTCCCTGTCTTCAGCTCTGGCACAAATTACTCTTGCTAGATTGCAAAAGTGAAAGATGAAGGAGATTTATCAAGGTTTTTGAAAGGCAAGTATAAATAGAAGTACTCAAAAAGCCTCCATTTCCTTGTTTTAAAGCCTGATTTCCTTATTTTGTCTGATAATGTGAAAATGGGTTTAGTCTGTGGGTAAGAATGACAAAGCCATTAAACAAATTAGTGTGCTTTTTTTAAAACAAAACAAAACAAAATCAAATCAAAACAAAACAAACAAACAAACAAAAAACAATGGCATGCTTTATGGAAAGCACAAATACACAGGAGGAGGAGATGTTTTAAAATAATATGAGGACACACAAATATGCAGGATACTGAACTATGGGTTATAATGGATGACTGCTTTCTCTTTTTTCTTGTTTACTGTATTGTAAAGGAACTACTGAGTTTCAAGATTTTTATTTTCAGAAGACTTTGGTAACTTAATTAAATCAAAGAAAGCTTCAGGTAGAAGTATAGCAGCCTATAGAGCTAGAGCTGACACATCTTTCATCTCTGCCACCTATGTCTCTTGTCACCAAAGGACAGGTTCCATAATGGCTCAGATGAGTTCTGTCACAACTTGGTGTCTGCAATCATACTGTGGAAACAGAACAGGTTAGTGGCAGATGCTACTGGTATGTTGACAGATAAAACACCCTCAGAAAGAGCAGCTACTAAGCATTTCAAAACTCTCTGTGAATGCCCTCACTACTCACCCTAGGTTAGCGGTGTGCAGCCAGTGTTCACGTATCCTTCCCATGCCAGCCTGTAACTGCGGGTCTGTGGCGAGTTTTATGTACAGGTTAAGGAAGCAATATTATGCTGACTTCTGAGAAAGCTGTAAAGGCTTTTTGTGGATCTCATCAACTTCCACAGCTCAGACAATTTTTAATTGGGTATAGTTAACTTAATCCTTTGAGCACATTGTTACAATGCTTGCATACCTATGAAGGCATTTAAAAGCAAATAAACACATTTAATTATTTCATCATTGCTATTAATATCTGAGAATATGAAGAAAAATTCTCAACAATGAAAGTGGATTATGTATTAGCCAACTTAATGATAGAAATTTCTTAACCTGGGATTTTTGAAGTGAAACTAATGAAAAGATGGTGGAGAATATTTCTGTAGCAGAAGGGAATGACAGATTCCTCCTTATTATAATTTATATCAATTTACATTGTGTATGACATCTCGGGTCCCTGCTGAGAGGAATTCCAATAAATGTAACTTTATGGAGCATTACAGATGACCACTTATCATGACATTATTAGTACTATTGTAACACAAGTTATGAAATGTGGATATTTACTTCTGTTTTTAAGGGTATAAATATAGGTTTCATACTTATGTGTTAGAAAAGCGACATTGACTCCTGCATTTGATTTTCAATCAATCAATGGCTTTTATTGACAGTGATTTACCTCATGAATAACTAGCACTGCTATCTCTACAGACTGATTCATTCAGTTTCTAAAACATAGTTACATTTGGTATTGTACCTTTTATTACATTTATTTTGCCTTAACTATCACTGCAGTGATGAATATATTAAAAACAGCTCATGAATTATATATCAGTCTCCTCTGATTAAACAAGAGTAGGGGAAGATTCTCACACCAAGACAATTACACTAAAATCAGTACATGGTGCAGGACAAAGAAACTGCCAAAAAAAAAAAGTTTTTGAACTATCACATACCCATCTCATTCTTTGGCAATTCTTTTTTCTGCCTTTCGTTGCACATAGGAAAAAGCTTCCTGTTTTAAATAGGTAGTTATTTCTGACCAACGTAGCACCCTGCAGGTATTTGTACTGTGTTTATTCCCATATAATTATTGCTATGATGTAAGGGCTCAACAAGATTCTTCTCATTATCCTTCCCAAATGAGAGCAAAATAAACTAGCAGTGAGCTACCAAAGAGCCATAGCCATATGTGAGAGAGCAGTATGGTGGTAAAAGGTTAAGGATCTGTGCTGCTGCCCCCTGAGTATGCATACAACAATTTTCCAGAGAGTGTGCACCAAGCAGAGTGCTGAGTGACAACTAGCATTTGAAAGCCTGAAGTTTTTCTGAAAACAACAACACAAAACTACCCCCTGTCCTGAGCTGATTGGAAGAGCCAGAGTTCCTCATAGCAACAGGAGGCTAGCTCCATAATGTAATACTCTCCAACTCTACTGACTTAGGAGGAGGTTTTTTTTTTTTTTTTTTTTTTTTTTTTTTTTTTTTTTTTTTCCAGCCTTAACATGCTCAAAATTCATAAAAATTCATCTGTTCCTGACCGCACAGTGTAGTCAAATCCAAGTCCAGTTCCTATCAATCAGTTATGGAGCTGATTTCTCCACGGGCATTTTTATACAGGTTATTCATTTATATGTTCATTTCTACCTGACTTCCACCACAAAGGAGCACAGTCAACACATTGGCCAAAAATTAAGTGGTAACTCTTAAGGATGGCAAAACATTGATACCTGACTGTTGAGCCTTGTCTACTATGAAATTGATGACCAGATTAACCACTTAGGAACTCGTGATTGCTGTGTTTAATATAGATAAATATTTAACTAAATAAACAGTGGTCATCTTCCCAGTTCCCAAGAGCAATAATTCTGTCCAAAAATCACTCTTATTCTGACATACATTTGATCTTAGGTAGGTATAATATGACCTCCAAAGGAGATATTTCAAAATAAATAACAACAGAATAATCTAATAGAATAATTATGTCAGAACTGTGAAGTATTGCTGGTCAAACATCCACATAGTGTGTTGCTTTCACATGCATTTTGAAAAGCCTAAAATACAGTCTTTCAGAATCAGGTTATAAATCTCATTTCATACTACACAGATTGGCATAATTTTATCAAAGAACATTTACAATGTTTTCCTGTTGGAACTTGTGAACTACTTAGACCAGAATACAAATACTTAAAACTAATGCTTTTCATTGTATTGTGTAAATAACTCCTCAAAAAAAAAATATAGTTAATATTCAACATTATGTTAATCACATTTGTACTGTATGGATGACTGGATTAAATTTTCTATAGGCTTGTAGATGTGACAGACTGTTAAACAAGAAGCTACACTCTGGGCTTATGTAAAGTGTCCTTTCTTCTGAATATAGATTGTTTTGTCATTTTTTGGAAACATCATAGTCTGAGCTACAATGAAAATACAGTTAAACTCCCCCAAATAACAAAGAGCACTGTAGTCGTTCTGTTTTAGATTTTAGGCTTTTGGCTTTTGGTATCATTATGGAAAAGGAAAATCTGATCATGAAGAAAAAAAGAATTCTCTATCCAAGTGAAGGATCATCAAGGGAGAACTGTGAAACCTCTTGCCAGATTTCAGCAAGAGGGGTATGAAATAGTGCAACACAGTGCACTAGTAGTGTTAGTGCAGCAGTACAGTCAAAGATGTACTGGAGAACATCTAGATCCTTGCTGGATGTGGACTGGGAAATTTCATAAGCCATTTATTTAATTGCATTACACGTTTAGAAAATATACTGATATGTTTTTAACAGTGTGTTCAAACTGCCCAGTTACTGCACAGGATAATACCAACTGATTGGAATTTAAGTAATAAACTTCTATGAAAATAACTTATCTTTATGCTCAAGATTATTTGTTTTAATTTAAATAAGAAAGCAGACTGATAGCTTTAGGTGTTTTCTCCTCTGGCTGACTACAATTTTTTTTTTTCTAGTTAAACAGAAAAGCAAAATATTGACCTCAATGTTTTGTGTGACTCAAACTGAAATGTTTCATTATGTCTTCAAGTTTTTAAATAGTAAAGCCTCCAAAATACGAATTCGTAGATGTGTTTGAACTGTTTTTTTGTTTGTTTGTTTGTTTGTTTTTAATATATATATGAATAAATTGCCTATCTCCCCCCCCCCCTTAAAAAAAAGAAAAAAAAGGGGGGGGGGGAACAGGTAAAAAACACAATAAACAGCCATAAATGATTTTTTTTTTCTATATGTGCATTTATGCTATATTCTGCATAGTATTTCTCTTTAATCTGGAGGTTGGGAGGTTGGAGACCAGTCAAATGGTGAATGTAAGTCTGGCTCATCATGTGAAACGTTATACTAGCCCAGAAGCAGTGAGACTTAGGTACGTGTAGGGATGTAAAAGGAAGACCTGGTGTGAAGGTCATGCATCCACAGTCTGGCATGGTCTTTATGTCACAAAAACACTGTTTGCATGTCCACCTGGGATAAGAGTTGGGAACTGCATAGGTTGTAGATCTTGTCACCATGGTTCTGAATTGAAGGCTGATAAAAGTGCATTTTACAGGATTAATGAGCCAGAACAGTCAAAAAGACCAACCATATCCTGGGGTGCATCAAGCATGGTATTGCTAGCCTGTTGAGGGAAGGGATTGTCCCACTCTGCTCTGTGTTGGTGGAGCCTCACTTTGAGCATTGTGTGCAGTTCTGAGCACCACAGTATAAGAAAGACATAAAACTGCTAAGACCTCATGGTCCAAAGACCTCATGGCAGCCTGCAGCTTGCTCATGAGGGGAGCAGAGGGGCAGGCACTGAGCTCTGCTCTCTGGGGACAGCAACAGGACCTGAGGGAACGGCATGGAGCTGGGACACGGGAGGGTCAGGCTGGGGGTTAGGGAAAGGTTCTGCACCCAGAGGGTGGCCAGGCACAGGGTCAGGCTCCATTCAGAGCTTTTCCATTCAGAGAAACAGCTTTTCAGTCAGAGATGAAACCACTAACTTTCTGAAAAAGTGCCTCTGAAGTTAAACAGATGCAGGTGGACATGGCTACAGGACGTAGTGACAATCCCAAGCATGAGAAGATCTTGCCAGAAGAAGAAGAAATAGTTATCTTTCCTTCACTGTTGAGGTGAAAATTTAAAAAGAGATAAAACCAGACAAGCTGATCTCTTAGGAGAATTATTGGAAAAACAGAAGTAAGTTTTAATTTTTATTCATTGTATCAACAATTACTCATTTCACCATGCACCATTTCAAGATTTTGAAATTGAAATTTAGTTTAACCTAGAGATCTGAAGCAGTGTTTAAAGTTATGGCCCCAGAAGTCTCCAGAACAGCTTCTGTTGGTTGGGGTAACGGCTTGTGCTGCACTCAGCGATCAGGCTTCAGCATGGTCTGGATATCTCTTCTTACAGATCTCTCAGAAACCACTCAGAATCAAATTAGTATTATGCCTGTAATCTTGTACTTCTCTGAGGAAATCAGGTTATATCAATTTACTGAAATTCAACATGAATTTAGGTTGTGGTCATTGTATTCAAAGTTAAAGATGTAAATTTTAGTCTAATAAACAACTTTAAAGGTCAAAACCACATTTTCCAAGTTACTTCAGCTTTATATTAAGTTCTTCAGACAAGTATCTAATAAGGATAAAAGTAACCCAAGTAACAGGAAGCATAAAAAAAAAAAAAAAATTTAAAAAAAATTGTCTGCTCTGGTACAAAAGAGGAACCTGTCCCATGTGACATCATGTTCGTCTTGTTATTGCAGGCATGTGAGACTTCATGATGGTCAGTTTTAGAGATCAACCTCTGATAAAGCTTCCTTCAGTCCTGCTTGTGGATGTCATTGTGGTAAATGTGTCCTTTCTGACCCAGACAAAATATTAATGTCTAGCGAGCTTTTTTGTTTCTTTACGTTTTTCACCTTTCTCCCCTTTCACCCCCAGATTTGACATTTCCCTGAGTCAGTTGCTCAAAGTTACTTAGGCTAGCAACAAATTTGTGAGGAAGTGAGAAGAGATTATTTTATAACTGTAATGGATATATATGGAAGAAAGGTAGAGCAATATAGAAGAATGAACTTGGAGAAAAGATAAAAGGAAAGAAAGAAGGGAATGGATATCAAGGACTATTGAAATGGGTGTAGAAGGACAACGACTAATGGGAGCCTAATGCATCATATTGGATGGACTTGTACAACCTAAAATGTAAGTTATTTCTTTGTTAAATTAAAAATGTAAATATATATGATTGGACTAGCAAAAGAAGAGTTGATAGAGTACTTCAAGTCATTATTTATGTTTCAGTGGCCAGGGTGTACTAGCCTAATTTCTTGGTTTAGTTGCAGATATTTGGAATTATTTCAGAATATCACATTATTGAAATGTCTTTTTTTTTTTTTTTTTTTTTTCCCATATGAATAATATAGCCTAGAATAAAAACACAAAGAAATAAAGCTAATAAATGCTGGAAATTTAATTCATTCCATACTGCTTCCTGAAACACATAAATCACTTTGAAATGAAGACCAGAATTGTTTAAAAAGCTAGCTAATTAATGAATATTTTCTCTTTCTGGGTTGAGAATATTCATAACTGTCGCTGAAGTAATGAAAGAGGCTTGTGTAATTGTTCTGTCTGCTCCTCACACAGAGGGAAAAAAGAAAATCACGAATATGGCAAAAGATAAAGGAATATTGATTGTAGTTACAGGGAGAAGAAAGTACTACCATTGAGTAGAAGCATAATGGAACTGGTGATCCACCTAATAGAAGGAGCAGGCCTAATCCTTCTGGGATGCAGGGGTGGGGAATATGGAGCACCTGAAAATCTTTATTCTAATGTGAGCTCCTGGGGAAAGTAGGAAAGAACTGATACTGCTCTGCATATGAAGATGGGTCCTACAGAGACTGAGGGGATTTTTTGGAAAGATGTGACCCTACTGCAGCAATTGGAAGGTATGATTACTGAGGAAATACACAGAAAAATTTTGTTTATTGTACTTCAGCAAAGAGAGCATCTAAAATAAACAGCTGTAATATGGGTAAAGTGTGAATCTTTTTTAGGGGGTCATTCAGTATAGCAAAACCCATTAGTGTACTTTGAGGCTAACAATAAGAGAGTTGCTGCCTTACAAACTCATCTGTTATGGACTCATCTGCTATGAACTCATCTCCTCTGCCTGAGGAGAGGAGCTGGCTGATCACAGGGTGGGTATGAATGTCTAGGGAAATGTTTTATACACGTTTCAGCAGATTTAGGGAAGCATTACAGCTCTGATGGAGCATGCTCTGATGGAGCATTGGAACTGGTGCCAGCCCCAGGAGCAGAGCTCATCTAGGGCAGCTGAAAAAAAATAAGCTGGTGGAATGAGTATGGGAATGAGGTGTCCATCAGGCTACAGAGTGTAAGAGCTTGATTTGCTTAGCAATACAGATGCCTACTGCCTGTATATGTGTGCACAGATGTATATTGCAATAAATATCAGAGAGGAAGGAGACAGAACTAAATAAAACTTATTACAAAGAAAAAGAAGTACAAACAAGCTGTTAATAAATCTAGGCTGGCAGAAAGCTCATAACGTGCAGTGATAGGTGTTTTTTTTTTTTTTAACTTCTAGTTCCGGGGTCTGATGAGTCACAGCCTGACACTTTGCAGCAGCTCAAGGCAGAGACTGAAAGAAACACAACAGCTCACCCCTTCTTCACGTAAAGTCAGATGCAGTGGTCAGCTCTGTTCTCAGACTCCCTTTTCTTATATGTAAGAAGCACATCTTTAAACTAGGATTTTTTCTGTTCTTCTCTAAGGCCTGACTAAACAGACCAAAATCGCCACCTAGTGAGGATAGTCTCTCAGATCACTCATTTCAGACTTTTGCAAGTACAAGTGAGAGAATTGTCTCTGCGTAATTTTTTGCTATATTTCTTTGACTGAAAATCCTACGTAATTTGTTCTGTGCAAGAAGAAGTTGAGTTTGCTGAGGTTCCAGGAAAATTGGCATTTTCTAGAAACTATGTATCCAACCACAGGGATTACGAACACCTCCCTGTGCAGTCACGGGCTAATTACATGAATATTTTTGCAGCATATTTACAGACATCTTGAGTGAAAAGCCATGCTCAGTGCCTGTCTTGGATATCTTAATACTTCCTGCACAGGTTGTGCTTCAAAGGGTCTCTGAGTTCTTGGTCCTAGTTTCTCTGAATGAAATACTAAAAAGGAGTAAACTGCAAAATTGGCTAAAATTAGCAAGTTAGCAATTTTTTTGCAAAGTCTTCCAGTTAAATCTACCTTGGTGGATTCTTGATGCTCATACTTCTGAACCCTCTCTCTTTTTTGTTATTTTTATTCTGATGCCCTTTGTGGTTTACTTCCTGTTATTGCACAGAAATAAACTGAACATCAAGCTTCAAGACAAAACTCATAGCAAATCAGGTTCATCAAAGTGTGAAGATGTTATTAAGAATAATGATGTTTAAAACACAGCTATTTTGGACACCACCACCACCAGTATATTTAGGCATTTAAAATTAATATTGTCAAGGCCCTACATGCAGTGATAAACATAAAACACAAGAAAAAGTATGGGAAAATGCACATGGACCTCCAGATACAAGAGCTATGACTTTAAAATAACCACATGAAAAACTTCTGTGGAAATCACGAGTATAAATAGCGGTGAGACAAGAATAAATATATATATTTTTTAATAAATTTATTGCCCTTCCCTTGGTAGAGACAGAATTATGATGGCCTCTCCTGACAAATAGTCCTGGATATTTTTGAAATTGCTACACAAGGCCTATCTAAAGTCAAATTCTGAATCTGCTAGTGATGTAGTAGGGATCAAAAAAACCTTCAGAACTGAAATTTTCCTTTCTAAAAGGAGCTAATTTTAAACTACTAAATGCTACTGCCTGAATTTATTTCCTGCTTTTCACAGAAATAAATCTTCTAAGTGTGAATGCTAGACTTTGTGAAGAAATGTGTTACTCAAACAGAACATTACAGGGGAATTAACAGCAGCTGCAGATTTCAGCACAACCTTAAATGTTGACTCACCAGGAATGCCTTCAGTATATGTTGCAGTATTTTACTACTTTCGTTATGAGTTCCCATAGCAATATGTGGACTGGACTGACACACTACATTATGCACTAACAGCCATGCAGATGGGTAAGGAAGGTTGGCACTGCTCTTGTCAAAATAGGTGAATAGGAAATAGTCAACTTTATTTCACACATTTCCAACACTAACACTGCAACAGATATGAATGTGAATGCAATACTGATTTACTGTACAATTTCTTGGTATGAAGCTTTCAGTTAGGTTGGTTATGGTATGCAGAAGCTGTATGTTCTGAGCTGCCAGACAGTGATGTGTGCACATACATGCTGTGTCAGGAAAGAGAGAGAATTTCTGCCTGCATGGAGTTTCCTTGAGCATATCAGCAGTCATTGTTTGACCTTTTCTGAGTTCTGCGGAGAAGCAGAAAATTTAGTTTGCTGGAGATATTTATTGTGTTGTAGACCATCAGGATAAGCAAAGAAGTTGGGTGAAGCTATGTGTTTATTTTCTCATTCAATATTAATCTTAGGAATCGCTTCATAAATACTTGGCATAGTTGGAGATTCTGTTGCACTCTAAGTCTTAGGGTTTTTTACTTTCCTTCTCATTCAAGAGTTCTTGGGTCTTCTAAGGTGAAAAGCTACCTCAGAACATGAGTTTACTGCAAACTAGCCTGCTTTGTGAGATCCTGGAGCTGTCATACATGAGAGCTTTGTGAGATACCTGGTGCTTCAGGCTAGGATACATGCAGAAACAGTGAGCTGTCAAGGGAAGAAAAGGGAAACAGGGAAAGAGCTGTGTCCCAAGGTCATTGGCTATGTACCCTTACACCCAGTACACCTGTAGTATGTCTGGGTGGGCTGCAGAAAGCTGAATTGGAAGAGCCCATAAGAGCTGTTGAACCAGGAGGGTGACCTGATGTGCATGTTGTACTGCTGTGGCTCAGTTTTGCATCTGGCATCAGTAGTCTGGTCAAGGGAATAGGAGGGAAAGGGTATTTTTAACTGGAGTTGTCATTGTCCAGGCCAGCCTTTTTTCTTTATTCCCATTGGAGTGAAGCTGCTAATACGTATAAGTTTGCCAGGAAAGATAATCTCATCAGTCAAGCCTGCTTGGCCTCAAAAGTTCATCTGCTTTTAAGGATGTGAACCTAACCTACACATGTTGCCTTTACAGGAGAAACTGCATTGTCCTCACAGTGTTTCCTCACACATGTAGTTAACTATGTGAAACAGAAGGCCATGTATGGACCTCTCCTTTAGAGGTCCTCTGGCTTTCTGGATGTAGAACTTGCCATCACACCTGCAAAGGTATCAAAAGAAGAAAACTGAGGGGACAATTTTTCCAATAGCTTGATGTATCTCTAGGATAGGGCTGGGATCTCATTGGACTGGGCACAAATAACTGTGACAAAGTGTTAGCAATTTAAAATTAAAATGTTCCTAGGTGCCATTTTTCATCTGGGGTGGGAAAAACAGTTATTACTTTGCATGTCTACAAAAGTCATGGTTTTAAAAGTCAAAATAAAGCTTCAGCTGGGATTGAATATAGCACAGATTTGGGGATATTACCACCAGCCCTTGGAAAAAGACTGTGAAAGTCATTGCTTATGATAAATATCTCATATCAACATCTCATCTGAAAGACAATGAGCTGCATCTAGATGATTTAAAGAGCCATAGCAAAACAAAACAAAAACAAACAAACAAACAAACAAGAAACACAGGGTGAGGCACAAGCTGCACCTCTATTTTATTTAATTGTTATATGAACTGAATATAAAACTAAATGCAGTTTTTACTTGTATATTTATATGTGATTATATATCTGTACAGTATCTGTGCATGCTTTTACCCAGTCTGTCACCATCTCAATTTTTCCTTCAGCAACAGACTTTGCATTTACCAGGGGGGTTAAAAAAAAAAAAAAGTGAAAAAATAAAATAATCTGTTGTCCCTGGTATTGAACCACTAACCAAGAGGTTGCTATAGCAATAATATTTCCAAAAAATACCAAATTTAAAGTAACAGCTACCTCAGCTTTTGTGAAACATGGTCTTTTTTATTTTTCAGGTTCTCGCACACTCCGCTGGACATCGGTATCCTCTTTCACCAAAATATACAAAGTCATTTAAAAAAGGGGGGGAAGAGGGGGAGATAGAAAAGGGGTTGACCTATTTTTTTCCTTTTTTTTTTTTTTTTTTTTTTTTTAGTGTGTGTTTCATACCACCCACTGTTCTAGCATTTCCATTTTACATTAGTTTTTATGATGAGATCATTATACGTAAGTGTGCACTCTGACGTTCAGTGAGAGGTGCTACAGAGACACGTTGTAGCTCTGATGTGTACAGGCTGTAGTTCAGATGCAACACACAGTGGCTGAGCTGACCTGGCACAGGTGAGGATCTGATTATCTTGATGCAAGCTGATACAGTATCTTCATTCCTGTTTTCTGTTTTGTTTGTGTGTGTGTGTTTTGTTTGTTTATTTTTCTAAAAGCCTCATCTCAGAAAAAAAAAGTTTGTCTTTCTAGGATATTAAAAGATGGGAAATAGCTTGGTTACTTTTAATTCACTGTTGGACAGCCAAAAACTCCCTGTGCCAGCTTAGGCTAGTTTTTTATCAGTAACACAGACATTGTGGTGCAGCAACAGAAAAGGAAGAAAGAAACCTTCAGGATACACACCAGGAGTTTCCCTGCTATGCCCCACCCTCTTTATCAATGCCAGACCATGGCTTATCAGATGTAAGTACAGTGGAGCAGGTGGCACCAGGCAGGGGCAAGATGCTGTCTTGCAGGGCTCTGGGACCATGAGGAGCTGCCATCTCACAGAAGAAGGAAAACTCTGGCCGTTAGCAGCATCCATCCCCTGGGTGCAGCAGTTGCTCCGGGGCCCTTCTGCATGCAGGGCCACACTTCTCCTTCTTGCAGCCTTGTTCTGCAGAAGTGGCTGCTCTGCCTTTGAGGTCATGCTGGTCCCAAATGCCCTAGAGCTCCCACCCGTTTACCCTCTCTGTGCTGAATGGAGAGAGGCAGCAAACAAGATGCAGCTTTACCATGGTAGAAAATGGAGAACTAGACCTATGACAACACTGATGATACTGGTAAGTAATGTGAGAAGTGGCATGTGGCTGAACAATGGCATTGCACTCCTTTACTGGCATAAAAGTGAGAGTGAAAAGTGAAGCTTGTCACTGTAGTAATTAGAATAATTTTAGCAACATTGTTCTCTGTAAATGGAAACAGGAAGTGGAATATTTGAATCTCATAGCTCAAATTCACACTTCCTTCAATTTTCCAAGTTGCTCTGAAGTTAGACATATTAAAGATGAGAAAAAAAAAAAGACAAGAGTTTCTGTTAGTCTTTGTTAGTCTACAACCGTGTGAGTCAGGACTGACCCCAGTGACATTAAGAAAACAAAGCTGATGTGTAATTGCATCAGAAAAGAACAATGATGTGCATCATGAGGCAGCTCATGGCTAATATTCTAGGAAACACAGGTCAAATGAAGTCTAAAACTCCACTGGCAAGGTCTCCACAGTTCACTGGAAACTTCCAAGCTTAAGAAGCTGAGCTATATCTTTGCTGGGAGGTGGATTCTGCTTTAAGTGAATTATTGACATATAAACCCACCTCTGTTGTTACTGTGCTGACAATATCATTTGGCACTGATATTTCATACCCTACAGATATTAAATAAGTTAACATCATGGCTTTTAATTAACCATATTCTTACAGTATAGATTGAGAAGTGAGATAGGAACTACAGTGTCACACTGAGGAATGCATTTCTTGCTATTAAGTAGATTTTTGGATTTTTATAAACTCTCTCCTGTAACAAATGTTCTTGCTTTTTAAGTGGTTTCTGTGAATTTGCACCTGGTTTTTACCTGCAGAGCTTTTAGGAATTCTCTATGGAATATTTAGTAATAATAATGCACAGTGCGTGCTGGAGCCTTCATGAAGACGTTTTTCACTGTGGAATTCTCTCCTATAATATTGTGTGATTCCAAAAAGAATATAGATATCCATTTTCATACAGGAAATTTGGTCAAGCTGGGACAAAAAAATTTGGAGAGAGAATGAAAAAGATTGCAAATTTTTAGCTCTGTAAGAATAATGAGGTAAATACACAAATAACTGAAGTACAGGACGATGCAATCTCAGTTTCCTCATTTTACCAGAGGGTTGTTATTTCAACAGATGAAGTGAGCATTTCAGATCAGCCTAAGGGATTAGGTACCTATGTTTTATCTTCGTAAAGTAGACACCTAATTTATTAGAGTTCCTTTAAGAAGCCTAGAATATGGGCCAGCCATTGTCATTGCTTTCCTTTATCTCAAGTGGATCTTCAGTAAGGCAGGGACATACTATAAGAAATGATGCTACAAAAACCATCCACACATAAAAACAGAAGCTGACCCAAGCTAGGGATTTCATGAGCAAAGGCAGAAAATTAAAATGTATTGAATCTCAGGGCCAAATTTTGTGGAAATAAAGCTCTTTGCAGTGTCAGGGCCCTGAGTTTACCTACAGGCTTTGTAGCCTCTTCCCCTGTCGCCTTGGTTGCCTTTGTGGTGGCCAGTGCTTATGTTGTGCTGCCTTGCAACACAGAGCCAGGTGGGTGGGAGAGGAAGCTGGAATGATTCTTGGTGCTGATCTCTCCTCCTTGGCACAGGAGCTGCTTGTTAGCTCAGGCACTTGCCCTGTGCCCTCACTTTAGACACATCTCGGGAACATGATGCTTTGCCTTGTACTTTGATGATCCTGACCATGGCTTGTTGACTTGGCTTCCTGGCTCAACCTCAGACCCGCCTTGTCACTACGGCACGTCCATGCGATTTGTCTGATGATCAGACAGCTGTTGGCTGATGCTGGTTACTGTCACCAGATCTGCTCTACACACCTCACTTGGGTGCTGTGGGTTTGCATGGCTTTTCGGTGAGGATACTGCCCTGCTGACTTTGCTGTCATCCTCAGCTCCTGGTTACCTTGCAGAGCAGCCAGCTCTCACGGCTTTCAGACACACAGGTTAAATTTGACTCAGTTTTGTTGTTTAGCTTTAATTATCACTTATAATAATAATAATAACACAAAAATGAATTAACTTTCCAACCTTTCTGGCACATGAAAGGTTTAGAAATAAACCAAGTTATTTTTTTTCCATGAAGTTAGTGAATCTTGGTTCTGCTTTTGTTCCAGTGCAGCAGTGAAATTTCACATTCTGTTGCAAAATACATTGTGTTCATAGGTCAGCACAGGGACACATCTGTGGTGAAGTAGTTTGTGCTGCTGCTTACATATTTTTGCTTCATAATATATAAAATGTAATTACAGAAAAAAAAAAAAAAAACGAAAAAAAAAAAAAAAACAACACAAAACCACATGAAAATAAAATCCAGTAAAAGGATTAATGAAAACAAAGAAGGGAAGGGAACCTACTTTTTTAAAGAGGAAGGTAACAGCCAGAATAGTGACATACATAGTTATAAAAGTTCATATGATCACAGGAGAATTCTTATTGGCAGGGATTTCAGGAAGCCTCTAGTTCAACCTTCTATTCTAAGTAAGGTCCGCTATGAGGCCTGACCTGGTTTTTCAAGGGCTTTGTCCAGTTGGGTCTTGAAAACCTGCAAGGATGGAGGGTGCAAAACATCTTTGTGCACCTGCTCCACTGCTTGGAAGTCCTCAGAGTTCAAAAATTTTTGCATATATCGACTCTGATCCTTCTTGTTTTGAGTTTGCGTTTCTTGTCCTGCTATGCACTGCTGTGAAAAGCTTGGCTGTCTTCTCAACACTCTACTTGCATGTATTATAAGACTGATATTAGGACCCCCAAAGTCTTGTCTTCTCTAGGCTGAACAACTCCAATTTCTTCAGCCTCTCAAGTTCCCTTCTCAGAATGTGAAATTAACTGAAAGTATAAATAGACACAACCAGGAACTCATGAAAACAATGAAAGTGGCTTTTTGTAATGGAGAAATTGATAATTTCCATGCAAAAATTTCAGTGCTGATTGTGATCATTGTGTGCTGGTCCTCCAAGTATAATGTCAATCCTAGCATTGTGTGGAAAATTGCTGGTCCAAATTCTTTAAACTACAGACTTGCACAGGGGGGTATTTTTGATGGAAAGATTTTTTTTTTCCCTATGAAACTGGAAAACCACCAAAATCAAACACTCTTCCTGGAAACTGACCTAAAGCAAAAAGTTTATGAGGAGACAAAGAAAACCGCACAGTCTTTTGATTGTCTTTTCACAGGGACAGGTGCCCACCACTACCAGGGAATCACAGCGATTGAAGGGAGTCTGCATGTGACCAGATCCCTGTGTTAACAGCTCTGCTTTTCATTTGTGCTAATTTCAGCCCTTTTATAATTTAGGATCCTTTGCTGCCATTCTTATTAGCTATTGGTCCATTTTTGTTCATTGCTGGTTTTTTTAGTATAGTTGGTTTGTTCGAATTTTTGTAAAACTGGCTGACTGAGAGCTCGGCCAGTAACTCTAGCTGTAAACTCCATCTGCAGTCAAATAAGTGGATATAGACCTCCTTGCTCTGTTGGCTCCATAAAAACAAACAAACAAACACTCCGGATTACAGTCAAAATAAGCAAGACTAAAGACTAGTCTTTCGTGTTGTAGAGATATGAAACCTCACCTTCCATTCCTTTCCTTTCCTCCTTGTACAGGAAAATTTATTGTATTGTATTAGGAAAATTTAATCTGACTTAAACCATCAGTGGCTAGAATCTGGTTCCTTATATACGCTCTAAGTAATGAATCTTCAACTATCTGAAATCCAACACTCATATTGTAATGAAAAGACATGACATATAATTATATATGAGGACATTTTCCGAAGAAGATCGAAGTTAAGTCTCTGACTACATGAGGTAAACAATTTGAAGAAGTGGCTAATCGGAGGAGTATGCTGAAGGAGAACTTGAGCCATTACTGAAAGAAAGGAATCTTCATAGCACCATCACACCAGAGAAAAGATTGAACATCCTCTCTCTGTCTGCTCCTTTGCCAATCATTGGAATGACCTGTGTTTGTGTGTGTTTTTTATTCATTTCTATCACAGATTTAAAAACAATCCTAAATAAGGCTCCTTCACAGCTAAGCTTCAGGTTTTTATTAAAACTGGAAAACAAATGACTGGTTAAGAGGACCTCAGCCTTTCTCCAGCTCAGCTCAGAGTACGTTAAACATGTATGCCCAGTACATGGACTTGCTAGCAATCTGAGACAGGGGGCAGTTGGGTGGGGAATCCTCAGTAATTTTTTCAGCATGTCATGTTCACCTTTCTTGACTGTATGTTTGTTTCTTGATTTATGTACCACATCTGTTTTAAAGATACATGATGATGCTCCCTCAATTTCATTGACCCTGTAATAAGTTCTCATTAGTTCCAGCTACTGGTTTCACTTAGATTAGTATACTTCTGGGGTATTTCCTAGGTATAGATGGCAGAATAGTTCTCCTTTCTTTTCCCTTTATGTTATCCACTTTTTCTTTGACTATGCTCTTGCAGCCATTTTTGAGAGAGTCTCAGTTTCACAGCAAGTTCTGTAGGTGATATTGCTCTTTGTAGTAGAACTGCACGGAGTATGTTCTTCCACTTGGTTTCCCTCAGGTTTTTGTAGGTCTAAGCAACACCTGAGCAAATTCAGAATGTCTGTTTGTGCAGTTTCACTCACAAAGCAGTAAAGAATTGGATCGGCAATGCAATTCAAACTTGTTAAGGCTTGTGTGATTCTGTAGATCTTATACATCAACAGAAAAAACTGGGGGTTAGTGGAGTATGGTTCCTTGATGCTACGAATAAACAATATAACATGATAAGGCGTGAAGCAAAGAATGAAAGTAACTGTGATATTCAGTATAAGTTTCCTGATTTTTTTCTTTTCTTCATCTACTGTGGCTTGATTACACCTCACTGCTTGGTAGATTTTATGATAGCAAAAAACAATGATTATCAAAGGAACCAGGTACCCTGAGCATATCCGGAGTAAATTTATCTGTGCCTGCCACAGTTCCAGGGGGTATTTATCATAACATAACGTATGATTAGTGGAATTGCAAGGATCACTGAATATTTCGTTCTTCATCAGTATGACAGAATTCATGATGCCTTCCAGAAGCCAAACAATTATGCTGACAATCAGTGAAAATCTTCTTGTGCGCAAGTGCTGGAGCTTCAAGGGGTGAACTAATGCCAGGTACCTGTTGACAGAGATGCAAGCGAGGAATGCAGTGCTAGTGTAGAAATTCATATACATGAGGAAGGCGGAAATCTGACAAAGCGTGGCTGAAAGCCTCCAGTTATCTGCATTCCAGGCATAATCAATCCACAGAGGCAGAATCACAGAGTACAAAAGGTCAGCCAGGGACAGACTGAAGAGGTAGACTGCTAACTCATTCTTTTTCCTCACTTGAATGCAAGACACATAGAGGGATACGCAGTTGATGGGAATACTGATGACTATCACAATGCTGTACACAAATGGAAACAAATACTTATCCAGGGTGTGATCATCAGGGCACATAGCAGTGTTGTTCATTGTCCACCCTGACGAATTTTGTGCTAATTCCAGCCCAGAAGCAATAAAAAACCTTCTGTAGTCTGATAGGTGGTCATCTGTTAGTTCTTCAGGACCTGGTTGGTAGGATTCCATCCTTCTGTTGTCAAAAAGGAAAAATATCAGCTATATTAACATTTTTGACTTATTGGTGGTATTTTTTTTTTGAAGAAATAAATTGTCTTTGTAGGAGATCAAAAGTTTTAAACACTCCTGGATGGACACATGCAGAGGAAGAACCCCAATGTCTAAGAAGGTCAAGGTCAGTCATATGCAAGCTTATACAGCAGAAGCAGTATGAGACACTTCCAGAGGGATAGGATGCTAGAATCAAAGGTCTCTCTTGTAAGAAGGTCAAAGAAGATCAGAAAGTGCACCACAAATAATAAACAGGAGTGAAATAGGGTGCTGGCCATATGGCAGATTTCTTATCTCCTCTTTAAAACAATGGAGAAACAAAGACAGGGATTCAGGTACTTCCACATGTTGGGATATGCTCAGAAGAGGAGAACATGGCTGATATGCATTCCTGTTACTAATCACTCTTGCGACACCTGCACATTTCCCTAGTTCCCCACCCCTCCTTTGTATGTGATCCCCCAAGAGCTTGCAATCAATATTGCTATTCCAGCAAAGGTTACAGTGTGTAACCTTCATGTGAAACGTGGCAACTACTGGATTCTTGCATGCACAGGAGAATCTGCCAGGCTTAATTCTCAAATCAGATGGAGACTCTCTGAATACAATTTTTTATTTACAATTCTTTCCTCTACAAAATTGTGGTTGCCTTGCATGAGTTTGTAAAATCATCAGCAATTAAGCTAGTCTTAAGCACTACAACAGCCATGCTGTCAACAGCTTCAACATGAAAATATCAGTAAAATGGCAGCCCTGAGTAAGAAATGGGACTGGAGGAGTTGGCTGCCTAAGTTTTAGAAGCACTTAGAAAAGCTGACCTTTCAGTAAGAAAGGGTGTACTACCATAGCTATGAGACAATCGGTACTCACTGGTTACATCACAGCTCTGACATTCAGTAATTCCCTTCTTCAGAGATCTAACCAAAAAATTCAGGAAACACAAGCATGGAGAATACTTGCTGTGGTCCAGCTCTATTGCCAAATACACTGCTTCAGAGATCACCTCTAACAATTTATCTGTGGTTTGAGTCTAGACTGCCAGCAGAGGAGGTGAAGCAGTTGTAGAATGAGTAGGTTGCAAGATAGAACTGTCTACAACTGTTCTTTTACAAAGGAAGCAGCTCAAACTGAAAACAATTTATGGTACAGGGATTTTCCTATGTGGTAGGCAAACTCATTCTGCCCTTTATGGGTCTGATGCATCTGCGTGGAGGTTTGTGGGTTTGTCAGAGAAACCCATGTAGGTTTATTTACTGTTCAGAAGCTATTACATGGATCTCTCTTTTCTATAGAGAAACTTTCACTGATATTCAGGAAATAAAAAGGAGCAATGACATAAACAGTCAGGAAGTACACACTTTTTACCAGCCACTGATTTATTTGACTGAATTGGCTCACTTTTCGCAGTTAGTCCTAAATTCGTTCACGTGCTTGAAAGATAGTGAAAATTCTTGAGAAAGACTTCTCTGTTTGTTCCACTGAGGAGCTTTACTTATAATGATGACTAGTTGAAAAAAGCAGTGCCTATACCTAAGACATACATAAGAAATATGCTTTTCAGTGTGGTTTATTAAAACCGCACAGTATATAGGGCATCATAGGCTCACCAATATAGGTAAGTATTGCACATTAAACATCTAGCTCTAGAAATTGGATCCCAGGGTTTTGCTGGCCCACTTCTTACCAAAAGCAAAGCACATGTACACAGACTGATAAATAACAGATAAAATACATACATGTTCTTTATATAATTTTAGCATCCTTTTTCCTATAACAGGTCTAACAGGGAAATGTGCCTTTTCAGAAGCATGTATGTAATGCAGTAAGTGGATGAGGCAGTGTTTATACTAGGCGCATGACTGAGAAATTGGAATTCTTTCTCCTCCCCCACAAACTCTTTCTCCATTGTTAATTGACTTGCTGTATTATAGACTCATCCTCCTTACAAGCTCCCGACTTGTCTTCATGTTACACACCACAGATCCTCCCACAGCTAGCTAAATCAGCTCTTTCAAACCTAGGCACAGACCAACTAACTTACCTTTAACCTTCTCTTTTTAACCCACTGTTTCTAAAAGTTTTCCTCTCTCAATCTTACTGATTATAGGTATACCGCCTGTCTTTATATTGTAGTCATCTGAATAAACTGCATGTTCTTTAAGGCAAGACCTTGCTTTGCTCTTCTGCCACCTGCCTTAAGGAACTAACATTTTAAGCTCTAACTGGATTATGGCAGGCTGGGACACTGAAGATAGGGTTCAAAAAGAGAGCTAAGATGACGTGAAAGTTATCACCTCAGCAATATTTTCTGTCCATATTCACAGGTCTTTCTTTTATGACACCCCATGTCTTTCTTTTATGTTCAACTACTATCGTCAACAGTTTCTATGAACAAAGCTCAGAAGACAGTTTGTAATTCCTCAGGTAATCCATGTCCTAGCTTTGATGACACATTGATGCTACTTATAGAAGGATATTCTTTCAGTGACAACAATAACAAAAAGTGTGTCATTCTGGCATGTATTGACCTATACTGAAGTGTGTCAAAGAGCCAGCAAATGAAGTAGATCACAATGTATGTTGTAGTTTCTTGAACAGAAATATAAAAGCACAAAGCACTGTTTTGCATCTGATTATAACACATTTCACTACAGTTATTTGGGGTCTTGTCTCAGAGGAACCTGTCCATACCATTCTTCCTTACACAGCACTTTTCTGATAATTAGGACTATGTAATGCAAAATTATTTTTCTTACCTGAAAGCATGATCTGAAGCATTCCCATGTTTTTTCTCAGCTCCTGAGCATACCTGATAGTTTTGTCCAGGAAGATGGTATTGGCTTACAGGCACCCTGAAACACAGTGTTTGGTAATTTTTCTCATTTACTGTTAGAATTTTTCTAAAAATCTATCAAGGAATTTCTGTTTAAAGATACTGTTTAATGGTTTGTCTTTCGTGATTCAAACTGTCTGTGACTCAAATGTCTCACCTTACTTAGTAGACTTGTTTTAGTATCAGATGTGTACCAATGGAAAAAAAATATCTATGTATATGATTCTCAACACCAATTCTCTCTTTTAGACAGATTATTCAATGATTATCATTTTCCCAATCTCTTTATCATTTTGCTACAGAAAACGTGCTGTTAAGAGAACTCTGAGAAAATAAAATAACTAGACATAAAATTTAAGAAGTGGACTAGCAAATCTTTTACTTCAAGTAATATATGCAAACAAACCCATAAATGAACCCTGTGAATGTTACATATTGTATTTGTATTGATGCATTTCCACAGTATCTAATTCGGATTCAAAGAGAACTTTACACGATCTCTGCATTTATGACATTTTGTAAGTAACAAAGTACGCAAGCAACTATCCTTTCATAAGCACAAATACACAATGGATATTCCGTGCTCTTTTCTGTAAACAACTTTCTAAGGGGAGAACGGGGGAGGCTTTTTTATTTTTAGAATACAAGAATCCTACTACTGTTTGGGAAATTAGAAAATACGGAGAAGACTGTAAAGATTTTGTGTTACTAACAGAGTTCAGTCACTAATTAGAAATATATAGAGATTAGCTAGAATCACCAGCTTAATCTTGGAAACATCCACAACCAATACATTTCCATTATATGTCCTCTATGTAAAATTCAAGTTCATAAAGGACAAGTTGCTGTAAGCAATACTCATTACAATACAGTGTAGTTTTGCATGTACTTTGCCTAATAGGTAAGATTCAGGGGAAGAAAACGTCTGCTAGATCTGCGGGGTAGCTGCTGTACCAGTGCTATTGTGTATGGAAGGACAGATGTGTTTTTGATTCTTTTTTTCTCTAAACAATTTCAACAACAGATTGGTTTGTGTTCTTAAAATAAGTTATACAGCCAAGTTGATTTCCTCAAGTAGAGGGACCACCCATAGCTGGATGTTTTCTATAATGAGAAGATATTAAAACTTAATTCTGAAAACCTTTACAGTTTAGGAGAGTTAAAATATGTCCTTCAGTAACATGGTCTTTTTTGCTTAAAATGAACAGCACTTTTTCATATACTACACTAAATTTTGCTTACAGCTCTCAAAGATTCTGTAGAAACTCAAGCAGGTCTAAAAGAGTTCAGCCTTTAAGATACACGTTATGGATATTTTAAAGAGCATCAACAAATTCATTGACATGAGCAAATAGAATTCTTCTTCTTATTATTTTTTTTAAGAATGTAGACCACACAGGTGAATGTTATTTTGCTATATCTTTCTGTGCCTCATGTTTTCCTCTAGGCATACAGAAAGATGCTGTACAAAATATTTTCATATGTGTGACACTTGGTATTCTAAGAAGCTACTTTTAGAACAGCTTATTTTTCTGCTAAGTTTTAAGGATTGTGTATATACACACAAATAACGCTGAGTACCTTATTAATGCAATAAGTTATTAAAAAAACAATACTAGAAGAGCTATTGGAATGCTCTGTGAGATCTAAAGCAATTTTACTATGAGGACAGGACAGCTCAGAATCCTGAAAACTCATACCCAAATACTTTTCTTCTCCATCCTTCCTCCCCTCTCCTAAGCAATAGGTATTATGATCAAGGCAATACCACTACAACAATAAAACAAGCTGGCGTGTCTTTTCTAATTCATCCTTTCAATGTTGTTCGCCCTCTTGCCTCATGTTTCACATATTCTGGGGGTGAAATACTTGTCCCAGAGCAGTCTTTTCCAGCCTGTTTTGTGTCCCTTCTCCTTGTTGCATGATGTTAGCATCACACTAATGGAGAGATAGGATAAAACCTGTACCACAATACTAGTAGTCTATCTGCTAACTTAATGGATTTTGTACTCTTACCTAGACAGCCATGTGCTCCAGCGTAGCAGTTTTGCAGCCAGACTCTGGTTCTGAGAAGAGAAACCACTTCATCAGATAAAGGAAAAGGAAGCTGCTCTTAGAGACACAAATGAAGCAACTGCTTACAAGCCTCTTAATTTTTTTTCACTTCCCTCCTTTAAAAAACACACACACACACACAAAAAAAAAAACACAACAAAATAAAACAAAACAAAACAAAACAAAAAAACCACTTGCTAATTTAACCTTAGCCCTGGGAAAAAGACAACTCACTTATTAGGAAGTATAAAAAATATAAAACAATATAAAAACAATATAAATATAAATCATAAAACAATATATATATAAAAAAAAAGATCAGCAAATCTATCTATATTTTCAGTAAATTTACATAAGTTTTACTGAAAATATTGCCAAATTACAAAATTAAATGAGTGGAGTATATTACAAATCTCTTATTCAGGATACAACACGTCCTGAAGAGAAACCATTCCACAGAAATGGAACAGCTTTATTTGTATGTTTTTAAAACACAGAAGCTTTTTTTGACCAGAAGACTTGGCACTTTCCCTTTCCAACAAATCTATCACAGAATCAAAGAAAAAATGACTAGAGAAAAACCCATAAAAATACATCATAAGGATTTTAGGAGTTTGTTCCAAAAGAGTTTAACTATTTTCAGGATCTCTATTACTGTTTTTTTCTGTTTGCCTACTGATGGGAGCAAGTTTGTGCACAGTGTTAGTTAACAAGGGATAACATAATTTCATGCACTTCAACAGTTTGCACATTTGTATATTTTTATATAAACTGAATGTGAGATTGTATGCTGCTTTCAAGGGGGTGTTTCTTTTAACAGATAATTCAATTAGGGGAAAAAATGTTACGTAGGCCCAGTTTCTTCTTTACCTCTGTGATCAGAATAATTTATTGTGTGCTCTGATTTGTCCATAAATATTGTTTAGAATGATTGATGTCTGCTTCTAAGAAACTGGGTACAATTTCACTTTAAATATACATCTATTGTGTAATACAAAAACTGGACTATTTGATGATTCAGATGCTAAGGAGAAATGAAACAGATGGGCAAATTTAAAACCTCTCAAATCCTGACTTCTCTGAGAACAGTACTAAACAGCTCTATAATATTTAACTACTGGATGCAGAGATTTGGTTCCTTTTTTTTTTTTTTTTTTTTTTTTTTTTCCCCAGACAGAGCATGACTTTTTTATCCACATTTTTTTTCTACTGATTATCAAGTCATTCTATACTTCATTGTAGGAATGAATGACTACAGTCATTCCTTAACTGGCAACATAGCGCCCTCCAGCTTGGTGAAAATTAGGCTTTTCAGCACATGAGGCTGATGATATGTTAGGTTAATTTCTGAAATAAATGTCAGTCAAGCCTTTATTTTCACTGAAAGAAAAGTCATCAGAAAAAGACCTGTTCCCTCACTTTTCACCTGTCTTTCCCTAACATGGCATCTACTAAGAACAATGTCTGGTGGCCAGGCTCTGCTCCTCTGTTGAGGGTTCCTGTACTTCACTGAAGAAAAAGCAACTTTTATCATTATTAGAAATTGAGAAATCTAGGTGAATTATTTCTAAATGCCTTTACTGAACACTCAATAGTGGGAATGAGGAATCAAATGAAACAAGAATGGAGACCATGCATTTTATACATTTCTGGACGTAAAGATATATGCAAAAAAGCAACTCTTGGCAATCCAATTTTTGATACAAACAGCACATTTTTTTTTATTTTTTTTTTCTTTTGAGATCTGCATATACACAGTATCTCAAATCAGTCATCTCAGAACTTCAGAACAGGTGTTGGTTGGCAGAGATTGAAGTGCTACTAAAAAAGAACAACTGAAATAGAAAAGCACCAACACTGGAAAATTGTCTTATCTACAGAAGAAACGATGAATATTTTGTTTAAGTCCTCAATAATTTTATTGCTTGTATTTGAGCTTACAAAATGTTCAGATCACACATCCCTGTATTTTTTGATACAAGCAGCACGTCCTTGTATGATGGACAAAGATGCAAAGAAAAAAAAAAAGCACAGAATTTACAGGTAAAAACCAGGTTGAGATTCCTAAACCTTAATAAAAGTCTTTATAGTCCCATGATCATCTTCTCACCAAAACAGATTTCAAATATATTACCCATCACCAGATGAAAAGGGGAGGTGTTCAGCACATCATAGGATGGAAGTATGAGTTTGGAAAGCTGACTATTTTGGGCTCCTACGAGTGAACAAGAGAATGAATTGCACTTCAAGATCCTTCTGTCAAGAATAAATTAATGTACCATTTTTTAAAAAATCACCAGAATTAAACAGTTAATTTGTTGTGATGGCAATACTTTCTGTATTTGCACACTCCAGAAAGGCAAAGGTGCATTGTTTGCCGGAACAAATGCAAATTAGGACTATGAGCATAATTCTACCTCTGCCACTGACTCACTATAGCCTTGAGGAAGTCACTCTGTCCTTCTGCACGTAATAATGACATTGTATAGCTCATTTGGGTGTGAGCAGGTTCATTAGTTAATGCTTGATACTGCTGTAAAGTGCAAAATGTTATGTGAGTGTTTGGTATTGTTATTAAAAAAAGAAATAAACAGGAAACATTAGTCAGGTAATGTCATCACTGAGACATTAGATTCCTCAATGACACGGACAATAGTGGCAGTGGCTCAATTAACAGCATTCTTTGTGGACAGAAACATGAAAAACCTGGGATTTCCCACAGCTCTAACACACTGTGTGCATGATGTCAGCCACTGCATCTCCCAGTGCTTCATTCCTCCTGAAACACACAGAACATCTGCCCTGCAAAGCACCAAGGTCAATGGTCAGAAAGCTCTACTTTCATTTTTATATAATAATCAAACAGATCTCCAGTCTCTTGACTACTTTCCGTCTGAGTAGAATGCTTTTTTGATCTGGATTCCGATTGAAAACCCTGGCTTATCCTCATGGAAACTTTTGACGTATGTTATGTCACAATTTCAACTCTTTGCCTGTCAGCATCTGCCACAAATGCTGTAAAACAGAAAGGGGTGCTCAGCCCTGCTCCTAGGAGTCAAAATGCAGTTTCAGTAGAGCCCCTCAGGGGTCCTGCTGTGGATCTAACTAGGGCCAACTAGGATTCCCAGGGAAAACCCCAGGGTTGCCAGCACCCCTCCTCAGGGCATGACCTCTCCCTTCGTGCTCTGCACCCCGGAGCCACTCCCAGCCATGCCACTTGTTCTCATACGAAAGACCAAAGGTCCTTCTTGTGCGTCGCTGGAATTTTCTCTTGTAAAGTGCTTATGTTGCCTATGGTATGAGGGATGTGGTGGCAGCCTGAAGATGGGCTGAGGGCTGCACAAAGGCAGTCACAGCTACTGGTGGCCAGAAGCTGGTGATGGCCTGGCAGTGAGAGATGTACAGAGATGTACTGGAGAAAGGATCCACTTGGTAGTAGATGAGGGGCACTCTGGCATACATCTTGCGACTGGGCTGCACAAAGTGCAATTTCACTGTGTTTTCCCAGGAAGACCCCCCAATCCTGTTATCACAATGCATCCTGAAGTCCCCTTGTCCATTCCCACACCCAAAATGGCTCCTCAACGGCTTCACTCATACTCAGCGCCCACACCCAGCATGGCAGCCCGCCATCACACCGCGTGGGACCCTCCGTGCCCTCTTCCAAAATGGCAGCCACCAACTTCAACCAGTACGGGCTGGAAACCCTTCCCCCTCCCTTTCCCTTTAGCAAAATGGCGGCGAAGCGCGCTCACGCCCCGCCCTCCGCAGGTGATTGCCAGGTTGCGCGGTCACGCGGTGGGCGGGGGCGAGTCGCCGGGGGGCCGGGGCGGGGCGGGCCGGGGCGGGGAGACCGGGATGGGGACGGAAGGGATGGGGCGAAACGGGCTGGGACCGGCCGGGATGGGAGCAGCCGGGATGGGAGCAGCCGGGATGGGAGCAGCCGCGCTTCCTCCTCGCCCTGCGGCTCTGCTTTGCGTTTGGCTTCTGCTCGGCTCCAGCTGGGGCCCGGGTCCCCCTGGGGTCGGTGCCGTTCCGCGTCCAACGGCCACCTACGTGCTGGACGCCGGCAGCGGGCTGGGCAGGCAGTTCGACGGCATCGGCGCGGTCAGCGGCGGAGGGGTGAGTGCTGCCCCGGGACCTTGGCGGGGGGGGACGGGGGAGACCGCGGAGCCGGGAGTGGGGGGTCCGAGGTGCTCCCGGTGCCTTTGGTACGGGGTGAGGCGAGGCGGGGGGCTCCGGGAGAGCAGGAGCGATGGCGCTGAGGGGCTGCGCTTTGCTTGTGATAAGGCTGCGTCCCTGTTCTCTAAACTTTCTTCTTTGAAGTGTATCAGAGTAGCAGGCGCTTAAAGTCTGCAGAAATATACAAGTGAAGGGTTAGAAAAACCTTGTTGTTTGTGCTTAGCAGAGCTCCTGATACTACGTTTACTTTGGTAGTTTTATTAACTACATGAAAGTGCCCAGGCTGAAAAATTGGGATATACTTCTGTATTTGAAAGCTAAGATGTTCATATTTTCACCTTCTTTCTGTTTTAGGCCACATCTAGACTCCTCGTGAACTACGAAGAACCTTATCGCTCGCAGATTTTAGATTATCTGTTCAAGGTAAAGCCTGTTTCACTGCTATTCTGCATGAAATTTGGCATTATTATTTCTTATTGTTGAATGTTGGGACTCTATAGAGTAGTCAGTATTACTTAGGATTAGACAAACTCCTTATAAATCATTCACTTCAAAGTTGATTTTTTGACTTAACACCTGAACATTGTAGTAGGATAGAAAGAGTAATAGGTTGTGTTAGTAACTGCAAGTTGTAGATGGCTGTGTAGCTAAAAGTGGAATGGTCTGTCTCAGAGAGAGATTAGATCTGTTAGTGCTAGGTTGTATGCTAATTCACGTGTAGGGAAACATTCAGCTTTCTTTTTTGAAAAGGTCACTTAACTGTTTTCAAGATTAGCAATTATGAATGCAATGTTTACATATGTTAAATATTTTTTTCAGTCTTTCTGACTTTATTTTTATTATGGTTTAACTCTGCATGTATTGTTGTGGGATAAATAAATAAATAAATAAATAAATATTGTTCTCTCATAAAGAATGAGCTTCCTAGTGCTTCACAAGAGTTTTGATTCTGCTATGAAGAGCTAGAAGGCTCATTCTTCTGGGACAAGAATAGAACCAGTAAGAGTAGTTGGTAGTCTAGTGTGTGAGTTCTGAAACCAAAGGAACAAGTTGCCTTCCTTCAGAATATGACATCTGCCAATATTACATATCTGATAGGTGCTAACTGTACAAAAGTTATTTTTATCAGAATCTTAAATTTTAGTTGTTGTCCTTGACAGTCAGCATGTTGTTCAGGAGCTTATTTCTTCAAATTATTTAAATTACTCTTTTGTTCCTGTTCTCAACATATTTTTATCATTCCTTTGTGACTAAATGAGGGCTAAATAATTTTGTGGCTAAAATAAATGGCTTAGCTGTTTGTTATCATTGTAGGAAGTGAGTCGGACAGGTTTGATTTACGTACGGATAGATTCACAAAATGTGAAAACTTACGCGTGGACTGCATCATTTCAATAGACTGTTCCAAACTAGTGTACTTCCAGTACAAGTGCAGTTACTGTAGAAGGAGTACAAATGTTACTGGTTTGTAAGCTGCTTTAGTTAGCAAGTGTAACCTGTGGAGTTACTCAACTTAATATATGGTAAGATTATTGCCCTGAACAGTAATAACTTGTTTTGCTTTTGGCACTGTAAATTACTCTGCTGAAAGAGGATGTCATGTCACTTTCAAGTAGTGTAATCCAGATGGCTGGAGGGGAATAGTTTACTGTGTAGTTTAAAATTGGTTACAAAGGGCATAATGTCTGACTGGAGTTTGGAGACCAAAATTGTGTGCTACAACACACATTATGAGTTTTCTGAAGGAACCAAAAAGATTGTGATAAAAGAAAATCTAGCTGAGAGGTTGTGATTTTCAAATTATTTTTGGTGTGTTCTTTCACCAAAACTTCTGAAACTGTCAGATAAGTGGGAAACAACTTTGCCTCATTCTCATTATCTTTTAATGCCTGACTTACACAGTAGAGATGAAAAAGGGTATGTATTAGAAGTTTAAAATAACATATGGAGGACTCATGGTAAACTGGGAAACATTTGTTTCTTATTTAAAAAACAAAACAACAACAAAAAACTGTATGCCAAGCAAACTATTGTCTGTGTACCTTTTTTCTTTTATAGAAGTGCATTCTTACGTCTTGAATTTTTTTTTAGATGCCAAAATTATACTTCGGTAATTCCATGGAGGGAGGCCAGCTCCATTAGTGCTTATTAATATAATGATTAGTTAGAGTTGCTCAAGCCAGAGCTTACAAAACCACCAATGGCTGAATGAACATACTAGGAATAGGATGACTTACATGTGCTTAAATTTTGTATTCTGTCTACTAGTCAGAGGCAAGGGAAACAGGATAGTGGACCAAGCGGCCACTTGTTTTCCAGTATGGCAACTTTTACTTTTCTCATGCTTTCTGTCTGTAGGTTATTTCTGACTCCTTCACATAAGGGGTGTAATCCTTTAAACCAATGAACACATTAATTACAAGGATAACAGATCTGATTGTTTGATTATTTTTTTAAAGGAAATAATAAGCTTGACTTCTAATAACATTAAAAATACTGTTGTGTTCCTCATGTAGCTCATTCTGCATTGAGAACTCTTCAATAATTTCTTTAACGTAATCAATTTTAAAATCTACAGAGTGGGGGGAAGTGTCATTAACTGTGCAAGAGTCGGTGAAACTGGCTAAAGATAAATTTTTATTTATCTTTACCAGTTTTCTTTGGAAGCAGAATTTCTTGTAATCTCACATTGCACCTGATACGGCTGTTTAAAAATAATAAAAAAAAAGTATTGAATTTCCAGCATCCTCAAAACTGTGCACTTATTTGTTTCACAGTTCTTTTCAATAGTCTGACTTCTGTTTCTTTCTCTTTTTCCTAGCCAAATTTTGGTGCTTCTTTGCATATCCTCAAAGTAGAGATTGGAGGCGATGGCCAGTCAACAGGTACAGATTTTACAGGGTTTAACTTTTCATTGCAATATGCTGTTAGTGATATGTCCTGCATGCTGCACTTGAGTTGAAAAATGCAGGTATGTTGTGTAGTTCTACTGAAGTTGCACAAATATAATATAATATAATGGTTAATAGGTTGTGTTCTAGACTAAGTAAGTTCTTTTTCCTTCCAAGATTGGGGAAGAGCATTTCTCAAACACTAGTTTAGCAATATGAATACTGTAAAACTTTATTAGGGCTAGGTAGTATATGTCTTAAAACCATGAAAATGCACAGACAGCTGATCAGAAGCAGTTAATGTTTCTTTAGTTTCATGGCTGCAAGGTTTCACTGGGGTGTCCTTGTCTGACTGACAGTATACACTCTTTTTTTGCCTGGCCACAATTGCAGGTGAAAAAGTCTTGGTGCAGTTTGCCTAGTTTATTAACTTTACTTGTAAATGGGGTGATACATGTCTATTAACTGTTTGTTATTGAAAATTAAGAGTAACTAAATTACAGTTTATAATGTTTTTTCTTCTTTGCCCCTCCCTCCTATATGTCAGCATTTAGACATAACCTGCTGATTATACTTTCTACCATGCTTTTTTCGTTCTAACCTGTAACATTCACAGTAGTTGTTAAGACCAAGATGATAATGCTAAATCTGTATTTAGGATTATACCTGTGAATATAAAATGCTCGATAGTTAACCAGATTCTGATGCAAAAAAAAGAGGGCATAATCATTTTAAAAAAACAAACAAACAAAAAAACCCCACAAACAAACAAATGGAAATTTATGCTAAGTTAATATGCTAAGAATGAAGGGTGGCAAGTCTTGCATGTTCCCTTCCACTACTCATTTTGCTTTGAAGCAAAACAAAGAATGTGTGAACCGTATTGGAGTTGTGTGCCTGCATACTGTGGCAGTGAGCAATACAGAGAACTTTATAATGTGTAACAGCTTATGACACAGAAGATAATTGTGAACTACCTGTCTCTTTCCTTCCTAGATGGTACTGAGCCCTCCCATATGCACTATGAAAATGATGAGAACTACTTCCGGGGCTACGAATGGTGGCTGATGAAAGAAGCTAAAAAGAGGAACCCCCAAATTAAACTGATTGGTAAATTGTTGCATGCTTTAGGATTTATGTGCTTTTTTTCTAACTAACATATCTGGTCCGTAATTAACATAGTTATATTAATAGACAAATGTTTTTATGTTGCAGTAGGCAAGGTAGAGAATCTCTAGTGTTTGGTAATCTTGCATTGATATTTCCTTTAAACATACTATTTTTGCTTTGCTATAGTAGAATAACACTCTGAACAGTGAATCTCTAATAATTTGCTTGCATGAAGTGACATTAATGTTTAGATGCTATCACAGTGATGAATATAAATGATTTATTCTGAGGGGTGAATTTCTGAATAAGAGTAAAAAAAAAAAAAAGGGAAGAATAAAGTAAACTTACAGGAAGTATGGATCTGTAAATCTTCCATGCACCAAGTTATGTCCTTATATGTCCTTATTACAAACCTGCCACCTTCCTTCCCCATCACAGTGCTTTCTGTCTTTTGCTTTGTTTGATACATACATAGTTAAGCTATAAGAAGACTTAGCTGTTTCTCTGTTTTGATCATGGGTTGTGTATGTGCTGTGACAGTATGAATGTGTAACCATAGATTTTACATGAAACACTTCATAGAATGTATTTCACATGAAAGAAGGAAAGTTTTTTTTATTCTGCAAAAACAGTTTCAAAAACAAACCTTGATATAAATAATTTGATCCTGTAGTGAGGTGCTAGATGGTATGTGTGTACTTCCTGAAACTGGAAGCAATCTTTCTTACTAATCATGATAGATCTTGATTCCGAACCAGAAAAGTCAGCACATATTTGCTCAAAACAGCACTGGGAGATATTTTTGTCTTTGTGAAACTATTAACACTGAACTAGTTAAAAACTAAATGCTGGGCTCTTCCATGTGTGAAGGCCACCAATATTCCCTGATGAATTCTACAATTATCTGATGGACTTGGCATTTCAAGATATTGCATTTCTTTTAGCTTTTTGAAACAGTGAAATTGACCTTGATATCGAATACAAGTGCCTTTTGCTATTGATAATGCCTTAATATAGTATATTGCTTCCATTTTGTTTGTGGTTGCAGAATGTATTATTATAATTCTTACCTTTGTAAGAGCAAGCCAGAAATCAGCAGTCTCTGCAGGGCAGAGAAACCTCATAATTCAAACAAAATACACTGCATCATTTGTTTGTATACTTCTATCTCAATCAATCCATCTTTGTTTTAGTCTGAATAATTATTAATGTGCAGCATAGCAACCAGACATGGAAATAAATGTGGCTTGTGACTTGTTTCTGGTTTTTCATATAGTTTACTCGATTGTGTTGTACTTGATTTCATATAGTTTACTTGATTGTGTCATATAGTTTACTTGATTGTGTTGTACTCTTATAACAAAGTGACAATATGAATGATAATTTGTAAAGTCTTTTATGACAAAGTCATGCAAGAGACAAGTTCCCTCCAAAGTAAGTTATAACAAACGTGCACATCTGTAAGTAGTAAAAATATTTTTAAAGTAACCTTTAAAGTATTTCAAGGGCTTTATTTCCAGGAACTTGAAAGGTTGTCAGTGATGTTTGTGTTCTTTCCCTGTGATAATTCTGGTCATATAATCTATCAATATATGTAAACTTCCTGCTTTTAGAGTATCTTCCTCTCTGTATCACCAGACAGATACCCTTTCTCAGTAGTCTAATATGTTATTCCAGTTTCAACAACAGGGTTATTCAGTTATGATGCTTCTTTTTATTTGATATTGCTTCAAATTTCAGTCAGCAAAATTTAAAAGGTATTTTCAGATAAGAAAGTTGTATTTTGTCCTACAGAAAGAAGTGGAACCAAAACATAAAGATTACTTTAAGTGCCTGCAAGCCTCCAAAAATATGACAGTTTTGCTGGCACCAGCTGTTGTATGCTACCAGTTTGTGTCTAGTTACCCCTCATTCAGGCATCAAATTTTGCCCCAAGGTATGACTTGGTACAGGATTTGCCAATCAGGTTCTCTTAGATAAGCACTGTGATAAACAGTAAGCTTACAGTCTATGACTGATTATTAATAACTTACCTTTTTCCTCAAATCAAGTGCTCAATAATGAGAAGAGGATATGCCTTTGAATTTACCTGTGATGTCTTATACAGAGTCAGCTGAAAATGTAGGAGGATCTGCTGAGGTTAATTTGTTATTCTTACTTACCACAAGATCTAGAAGGCTGCTGACACTTGAAAATGCTTTTTCATGATCCTATTCTTTTGTCCTCTATTATGATCAGATCATCACTTGTTCTGGAATTCATACTCAAGAGATTAACAAATTTGTGTTTAGTATTGATCCTTTGTCTATAACTTTATGAACTGTTGTCCCAAAGTGTTTAGAATGTTAAGCCTGTTAGAACTAATGCTGCACATATACAGAAATATTGCATGTAGTCAGTTGCTCTCTAGTAATCATAGGATAGTTTGGGTTGAAAGGAACCTTAAATGACATCAAATTACACCCCCCCTGCTGTGGGCAGGGGCACCTCCCACTAGATCAGGCTCCCCCCTAAGGCCCCATCCAACCTGTCCTTGAATACTTCCAGGCATGGGGCATCCACAGCTTCTCTGGACAACCTGTTCCAGTGCCTCACCACCCTCTGAGTAAAAAATTTCTTTAATCTAAATCTGCCCTCTTTTAGTTTAAAGTCATTCCCCTGCACTCCTTGATAAAGAGTCATTCCTGATCTTTCCTGTAGGCTTCTTTACAGTACTGGAAGGGATGGGTTCCTAGCTTTTTTTTTTTTTTTTAATGTTTTGATCTTAACTTTACAACAGAATATGCTGTAATATAAATGAGTAATGTTTTATTGTCTTCATTGAAACTATGTGAATCTGAAGGACATACCTGCTTCTATGATTTTTGTAGTACTAATTACAGCTTGCTCTTGAATCTTACTTAAGTGGGCAGTCTACTTCACTCAGTATTTTATTCTTCTGTTTTTATTCTCTCTTCAGGACTACCCTGGACGTTTCCAGCATGGATAGGGAAAGGTGAAAACTGGCCCTATGACTATCCACATGTCACTGCTTACTATATTATTTCTTGGATATTAGGAGCTAAACAGTATCATGATCTGGACATTGACTATATTGGGGTCAGTAAAGCACAATTTCCAGTATATGCTGTCTGTCTTAATTCCTAAGATTTTTGTTATTTTCTCTTTGTTGATTACTGGGTAAAAGAGGGATGAGAAATAGTAATTGCAGTTTTGGCTTTTTCTGTTGCAGTGAGAAAGGAAGAAGTTATGCTAGTTTACAGTCTTTTTGTAATACTGGCCAATAATGCTGAAACAGTATAAAATGGCTAGATTCCTGCCTTCCCAATTCTAGAATGAAATTACCGGATAATTTGAGGATTTTGAAACCTGTTTGAAACTTGGTCTTGTAATTTCCTGCCTTGCTTGCTCTGCCTGGGTTTCAGAAGTAACTGCCTAACAAAAAAACATTATGTTAAGACTTGGAGTTTGAGAGTCATATAACACAGCTTCTTGACATACAATATGGTTACTATTTTGCTGAAGGGCAACCCTCTACAACTTTTTCCATTTTTGCTTCCATTATTTAATGAGTAGGTTAAGGTGCACATGTTACAGTATAGTATAACTGCTCTGTTTTGTTACAGAGCAATAGATGGAAGTAGTAAGTGAATATCTGAGAAAAATGTAATTTGGAGGTGAGAGGGAGAGCCCACAATCTGGAAAAAAACACTTCATTATTTGACAGAGATCTAATGCTTTCTTTTTTTTTTTTTCTTCTGCTTAAGAAAATGTCTGGATGGGATTCCTTTGAAAGCACTGTACTTATTCTGGGCTTCTGAGTGTTTTGATATGAGAGTTGTTTAACTGCAGAAAAGCTGAAAATCAACAGTCCAGAGGGAGGCTCTTAAAGTTATAGTTTCCATCCCTCTAGAAAAGCCTGAGCTTTCTACTGTAATGTGGGAAGGTGCATATATATGATATGTCTCTCTTCTGGAATATGTCCCCTTTGTTCTGGCTGACTTCATCTGTGTCAGTCTTGCACACTGGGTAACACAGCGATACTTCAGAAATTGAATTTGGGGGGGGTGAGGGTTGAACACACCTTCTGCTCTAAAAGCACAGCAAGGTGAAAACTTAAAACCAGGTAAGTTCTGCAGATTAAATAATTGAAGAATGTCTGGCTGCTGTACTGTTACTTGACATTGCAATTGGCCTTTTGGGTTCTGTACCTCTAAGGAAGAGGAAGTTGTGATTCTACAAGCAGCGTGCTGACAGTTCATGTTGTCTGTTTTCTTGGTGAGTATTATACATGTATGAAACACAGGAAAGGAGTTAGGTCTGTGAAGGCTCAGAACCTGACAAAACAATTTTAATGCTGCTCTGATTCTACATTGTTTTCCTTCTGTTCTGGTTTGCAGCATGTGCTATATAATATACATAATTAGTTGTTTTATGGTGAGCCGCACAGTAAGTAAGTTTTTTTTTGTAATTCAGAAATCAACTGATCATATTAGCACTTGTGGAAAGATCTAGAAATATCCTTTTGGCGTTTTTGTCCTATAAAGAAACAAGCCTGCAAGTCTTCCTGAATTCTTCTCATTTATACAGAGTTTTCACTAGACAGAAGATACACGTTGTGAGGACTTGCCTAGAACCAGCCAACAAGAAACACTGAGCTCTTGGCACATTTGAGTGGCAGGCTACTCAAAATCAAACAGACATCTTCCAGTTGGATGAAACTGTCAGTTTGTACATAGCTGGGTGACCTTCACCTACAAGGGCGCACATAAGACCTTTACTGGTGAACATGAGTCATAGTGCTCATGTTGCAGGTCAGGAAAAGTAAGAAGGTTTTTGACTTGGCATTTTGTTGTCCCTGATACTTGGTAGAAAGGAATGCCTCCGTTCCTGTTCTTGAATTTTGGGCTGTGTTTAGCTTAAACACCCTTTCCATAAAACAGGGCAACCCAGAGCAATCTAAATCATATTATTTTATGTGTCTTTACTTAAACTATACTGTGGTTCTCTTGTATTCAGCTATGGATGTAGTCCTGTGTAAATTATAAAGAATTCAAAGTTTCATGGAATTATGTCCTGAAACTGTAGGCAATCATTCAATGAAGCAGTCATTTTATCTCTCCATATCAGGGTATGGCAACAAAGGCCCATTCTGTATGACCATGCCTTGAAGCCACAATGTTTTTTTTCAAGAGGAATTCTAACAAACTGTAGGCCCATAATGCTAATAATGTGTAATGTGGCAAACCATTGTAGAGCTCCCACAGCATTAAAGCAAGAATACAGGCAGTAGGTCCAAAAGTTAAATAAAACAAGCAGCTGTTTGGAACTTTCGTATCAGCTCTCCAGCGGAGAATTCTATAACAAAACCAACCAGAACAATTTCTTCTAGGAAACTAAAATGGTGGAGTTCGTTAACGATTGTGTAATCTTGTGTGTGTGTGTGTGTGTATATATATATATATATATATATAAAATCTTTTGTTATCTGTCCTGACTTCTCTAAATGGCTTTTTACTTTTTGCTTTATAGATATGGAATGAAAGGGCGTTTAATAGCAAATATATCAAGGTATGTATTTTTTTTTTCCCTTCTCTAAAGTGAAATGTGCTTCTGAAGTTTGTCTTTATCCTATGTCAATGATTAGCTTTGCTGACTTTTCCTAGAAAAGAGACCTTAATCCTGCAACTGCTTCACTTACTAAACCCTTTCATGTAGTGGTAGCAGACATAGAATGCTAATGGAGTCAGTTCTTTAGATTTTTTTTTTCTTCTGAAACTTATTTTGAACTTTGTGTGTCGGTGTATGGTAAATATGTGGAACACTTTAATGGAGGCTCCAGTTGAATCATCCAAATTTGTTTTTTTACTGTCTTAGAGTTAACTATAAAATAAGTCGCAGATCTGCAATTGCTTAAAAATTCTCTAGTGAAGTTCAAGTGGATATCATATCCTTAGATTATTGTTATAAAACTGCAAGTTCTTATATTTTCTGCTGTATTTCTCTGTTTTCTAATCTATTTTTATCATAATGTAAAGTTCCTTTATTTTAACTATGCAAAAGTCAATGCATCATGTTTGAAATGAATTGGAGAGAGACAGTATTTCACATAACTGACACTGAGGTATCACTAAGCTATCACTGCTCCCCTTGCCACATACCCTTCTCTGGAAGCTTGCTTCTATTTATGTTGAAGTAGAAACTTAAGTTTAAGCTTCTGCTATATTCACTTCCTTGTTGCTGCTTCAAGGCTAAAAAGCAATTGCATTACTGCTTTTTAAAAGCAAATAAAAGTTGAACTGAGTGTGTAGAAAATTATCAAATTTCCTTACTGAGCACAGCAGAGGTTGGATCCCATCTGCCTAATTATTCAGTTAGTGGCTATTAGAAAAGTTACAGTTCTTACAGTTTGTGTACGCTGGGTAAGGTTAGTCATGTCGTTTGACCTTGGAACTTCTGTCATTATTTTATTCATTGATTAATTTCAATAGAATAGTACAGTAGAATGGTGTACAACAGTCAAACATGATATTAAGGGTGGAGGGGGGGAAGCACACCCTTCTATAAGGCTGGGATATAAAATTCTGCCTGTTCCTTAAAACTGGGTGTTCTCCTATAAAACCTTTTTTCCTTCCTATTGTATAAGTAGATGAGTAGCTTTAGATATATTTCCTATGATTTGTAAGCTGCTTTGAGCGAGGGAGGTCAGGAAGCACTGGCAGAAAACTGTGCTGCCATTATACCTGGTACAGACAAAGAGAAACACCTTATCTGTTTTTATGAGTTTCTTGTTAACAGATATGTTAATCAACTATGTATCATAAACTGATTTATCTGGTTCACTGCCAGCACAGCAACTTAGTTTCTAAGACTGTAGTGGGTTTATGGTCATAACTTAGACCAACTTCTGCTAGTTATGCTTTGTTTCATTACTAATTGTATTAAAGTGATTTTGTAGCAGCCTGTGAAAGTTAGTCTAGACCATTGGTTCCTTTTGGACGCAGAGGTTTGGCAGTAGTTTTATTGACATACAAAATCCATGCCAGAGAAAATGCAAAAGCACTAAAGTGTGACATAAAACATCTTGGTAACTATGCCAAGTTGTCATGTTTCTTCATGCATGTCTAGTAGCAAAACTCTTGTGGATTTTGTTAGTGAAGCTGCTTAAATCCCTGTCCAAACTTGTTCAGTGGGTATGTTTAGAATCCTTTTAAAATATGTCATCCTGATGTGTGTTCAGTACAATACATAGGCTTTTTTTCTAATGTAGGAAAAGCGTTTGTAGGGCTGCCTCTATAACAAAACAAACAAACCAAAACAACAACAGAATGCAGAAACTAGACGTTTTCTGCCTTATTTAGTGCCAAGAAATTTAGGTGCTGGGATTTTCTTTCTTTGAAAGAGAAGTTATCCACTGATCAGGTATAGGCTAAAGGAAAAATCTGAGGATACTAATAGTCTCCTAAAGGATAATTACAATCATAAGTAATTTTTGCTGGTAGGAAGTAGAGGGAAATGCTCGTGCCTGGGCTGTTTACATAGAAATCCGACGTTGCTCAGTACCTATGTTATAAAAGCAAAACCAAACAGCACTGAAAACACTTGCTTACAGTTTGGAATAAGGCAATGCAAGTAGGATAGAAGATAGAGTAATGTGCTTTTTGAGCTGCAAGTTTTATTTGTTCACTACCTAGGTGATATGTTGCTAGGAAAGTCGATGAAACAAGCTTTTGTAAAAAATAAGTATTGGAGAGAAGGCAGATCTTATTATAAATAAAATACTCATTTTATTTCATTATATCACTGATTGAAACAGGTTCTTTTTTGCTCAGTCCTCTGCAGCGTCACCTGGATGTTTTCCTAATCTGTTTGCCTTGGCTTCCAGATATGAGGAGAATGTGGAGAACAACTCTAGAGCAGATGCATTCTACATGTTAGCTTTTTTAGCACAATTGAATTGGGACAACTTTTGGCTTCTAGAGCTATATTTTTAAAGTTTTACCCTAAAATCACCAAAACATTAATTGAAAAGTATCAATCTTCACCCGATTAATTGATATAATGTTTTATTTAACACTTGTTTTATCATACGTTCTCTTACTCTGTGCTGCCATGTGGCACATCTATTCTACAATCAATGATTCTGTTTGCAGTCAGCCATTTGAAAAAGACTTACTAAAATGTTCAGCAAACATATTCTATAATGACAAATATATGACAGATCAGTTTAAATTCTTCGTTATTTTGCTAAATTTTTACTTATATGAAATTATTTTAGTTGCTTCATCCACTAAGGCTCCAGTTGTGTTTCTTATAAAGTAGAAGAAACAGAACAGGGAAGCAATGATTCTGTGGCTTGTCAATTCTTCCAACTATACTTTTAAATACTGTCATATTAAATTGACCCTAAAATTTAATGAGTATCTTCATACACATGCCTGTACTGGGGTTTGGGGTGGCTGGAATGACATCGTTCTGCATATGTTACTGTGGAGTAGATTGTGTGTCTACAATTCTGTGTCCTTGGTACTTACTTTCTTACATGGATGTTCTGCAACATTTCTAGTTATTTTGTTCTACTGAGCTATCTTCATGATTAGGCAGTTTTTCTGAATGTCTGACCTACTAAATCTTGCTGTATGTCCATTGGGTGTTATCTTTTGTCTTAATTCTATCTGCTCCAGAGGGCTGCTAATGTTCTTCCTCTTTCAAAGATCACTTAAGTCTTTGAATATGGTCATGTCTTCCCTCAGTTTATTTTCTAGGTTAAACAGCACTGGTCATGACAATCTTCTTTGTAGGTCATACTTTATTAAGTCTTATCTGTCATCTCTGCTGTGGAATAGGTAGAAAGAATCCAAATCTAGAAATGCACAGTTCAGAAACAAGTACAACTTTCCTTTTCCCTTGCAATACGCTGGCACTATTTCTCCTTTGGTGAACCACCATCATCCTCAGAACCATTTCATCAGACTTTCTGTTTACTTTGTGGTATACACCAGTTATTGGTGCAGCTTGTTGTACTAAAAGTCATTTATGAGTGAATAATTTCTGGATTATTCTAATTTGTCAATTTCCTCCTTGCTTTGGATCCTGCACAAATTTAAGGGATGTACTTTGTCCATGAAGTATTTTAATAAAAATAATTATATCTATGGAAGTTCTTTCTACATCCCAATTCAGAAGTCTTTGCAGGCTCATCCTGATCTGGTCCTTACTGCAAGTGGATAGATCGCTGTTACTTTTATTTTCTAGTAGTTTTCCTACTTGTAGTATGTTTTAATTCTAGACATCAGTTAGGAAAGTATTGTGGGAAACATCTTCAAATGCCTCAGTTTCTTAAGATTTTTTGTTAGTTAACTAGTCTCTAAAAATATTTTCTTTTCAGGAGTGTCATTTTTGTCTACCTGTGTATCTTTTCCAATTTCTTTACTCCAATTGAGTCAAACATGTTTATAGACTTTGAAAGTGCTGTTATCATTGAACTGGCAATATCTTCTCTTCCAGTCAGGTGCTTAGTATTGTACAATACTTGGGGCTAGAAATGGAAATTCTGCAGTCACATGTTGAAGAAAGTATCTAACAAATACTGGGGAGTAGACCTTGAGATTTAACGTCTTGCAGTGGTTTAGGTTGGCAAAATGATCTAGGCTCGTCTTCAGTTTTCTGAAATGTTTAGTATGTTTTCCTCTGATCTCTTCTTGATACTGAAGAATTCTGAAAACCATCACACTGATGGCTATCAGGAACAAAATTTAAATAGATAAAACTTCTCTGATGTGTTCACTCTTTAATCTGTGCCACGTTTGTAAGAGGAAGACTGGGTGCAGCCTGATGATTAAGTTGATACAAGGCTGTAGCATCGATCTAGCCTCATTGTGGTTTTGCTTTTATGAAAAAACCTGTACCAAACTAATGCTTATTAAAACCAAAATCATTTGTAGAATTATATTGTTTAAATAGTGGAAAAGCTTTTTTTTTTTTTTTTGCAAACAGCTTCTGACAGCATCTGATCTTAATATTGTCAGGGATGCTCAATAAAATGTTTCATGCTATGAGTTTCAAATTACAGTGACTTTAATAATTATACCTTTACAAATTTTTTAGTAAGCTTTATGCTTTGAAGGCTTCAAGAACAGAACTTCACTGCTTGTCTTCTTGCTGAAAGGTTATTAACAAGCTTAGTATCCATTAGATCTAGGCTTGCTTGTCACCAACACTTGAACTTTGTTTTGGGTCCTTCTCTTGACTGCACATCAAGACAGAAATGCTCTCTATTATCCTTCATGTTGGTGGGCATCTATTATAAGAAATTATAGAATCTAAGGATTCATGACTACTGTCAAATACAGTCAAATGACTTGGAAAAAAATCTTCCTTATGTATGCATGCATACAGCACATACTACATAATCTCTGTATATCTAAGATTGAAGAAAGTATTTTAGGCTGTGGACTGATGTCCTTTCCCAGATGCAGTTGCAGGTGGAAACCACTGGAAAAAAATATATATATGTTTTTAAATTGAGCGTTGAGTTTAAAAACATGTTTATAATGCCAGCCTATTTCTGT